AAAGTCTTTTACCTGGTGTGAGGATGTTTTTGTCCTTGTACATGTGGAGCTGCAGCAGCTGGACTCTGCAGGTGACACTGTGACGACAGAAACATGTTGTGTTTATTTCATTTGATTTACGTGGTTTTCCTGTGTGAGAAGTCAAAACACACTGACGAGTGATTGAATTATGAAGAAGTTTCAAGAAGTCTTAATCCAGACTTATTTAATCTGATGAGAACATGCAGGAACAGTGTGAAATACTCAGCCACGTCTTTCACTGTGAACATCACTGAGTTACACAGATTTAAACCAAAGTAAAATCTAAATGTGAACCTGCTGTTTGCAGTTTGGAGCGTCGCTCTTCGTCTCACGGTGAAAAATCCTCTGGTGTCATCGTCTCTTCTTGGGTCTTCAGCGAGGATCTCGTTTCCCTGATGGTCCAGAAAGATGATTTCAGGCTCCAGCTGCCAGTAGCTGACCTCACACTGCAGAGTCGCTCCTGCAGCTCCGTTGAAAACCTCCGAGTGTTTGGGCTCAGAGACTGAAAACAGAAAGAGAACAGGACGTTACCGGACTGTTCAGGTCGGATCAGACCCGACTGCAGCCTGAACGAATCCACAGGGTCTGAATCCGGCCCTGGGGTAATGGAATGGACTGGTCTGCGTTGAGCTCAGGCCTGAAGGTTCAGACTTTGACTCAGCAGTAATGTGTCCAGGCCCGGAGTCGGGCTGGGATGGATCGGGTCCTGTCAGGGCCTGAATGACTCGAGGTGGAACTAGGAACACATTTCTGGCCTGTGACGTTCCGTCAACATGTTAGCAACAGGGAGGATTCAGGTTTTCTACAGAACGACTGCAGAGCCTTTCTATAAACATTGGTTGGACATACACACAAAAAGCTGCACTGTGGTGCTGTCTCGACGGCCGTTCTTCCAAAGCCTCTTGCACCGGTACTGCCCAGCATCAGACAGCTTCAGGTTGGAGATCCTTAATGAGATGTTTCCGTTTTTCAGTTCTTTCCAGATGAAGCTCGTCCTGTACTCAAAGTCTGGATTCTTCATCTCGTGAGTCTCGCAGCCATCGCGGTACAGGAAGACGACGTTTGGCTGCAGGAGTTCGTTGGACCACTCCACCGTCGGAAAGTCTCCCCCGTCTGTGAGGTTGAAAGTACACGGCAGCACCACGTCTCCGCCAGCAAAGGCCCAGACCTTCTCTGGACCATCGGCTCCCTCTGGTGGACCATGCACTGAAGATTCACCTAAAAACAAACAGCACCACGATTCCTCTCATTCTTTCACTGTGGCCAGAAATGGAACTGCAGCTCGTAGTCAGGCTCTTTTCTGCCCTGCAGCCTTGACAGGAATAAAACAGGATTGTGCAACATGTGCATTAGACGCCGCCTCAGATATGAAATGCAGAACTTCACCTGGTTTCTCCTGAAACATTTAACCGGAGACTGTTGGTGGGATTGTTACAACACGACAGTTTCACTGAGTTTCAGCTTCTATTCAGCTGATTGTATTTTCAAGCATTTAACTCATGTTAACTCACGTGTGCATGTTTGTGACTCATAACTTCCTGCTCTGCTCTGGGTTCACTCTCCAGGTGGAAAATCACAGCATTAAAACCTCCAGCGATCGGGCGTGACGGAGGAATGTGAACCAACCAGAAGCTCCAGGATCAAACACGGCATTACGTCATACTTTAAACTCAAAATCTTCCACCTTTGTCGTTTGTATTTTTCCATATAAACAGAATTAGATTTAATCAGATGGGCTCTTTCGTTATCAGTGTCTGCACAGTAATAAACATTCACTTAGTATAAACATTCACTCTGGACGAACTCAAGAGCGCCCCCTATGCAAGCAGGAGGTTGTAGAAATGAAAGTGCTCTTGAGAATAATGACGAGGGACCGGTGAATTCAAAACGACAATAATCAAAGTGAAGTCGCTGCAGAGAAACGATTAACGTCGGTTTGTGAGTCGATACAGAAACCAGATCATCTGTCGCTGAATAATCTGCTCATTCATCACAGTTCACCCCAACATGAAGTTTTGACTGTTTAACCTTCAAAATAAAACAACTTCATGTGCACACACACACACACACACACACACACACACACACACACACACACACACCTTAGTTTGAATAAATATTAAATTCCATCCATTTGACTCATGAGTTCACATGAAGCTCGTTTATAGAGTTAGTTATAAAAAGTTATTCAGCACAAATAGAGTCACGGACCTGAACCTGCACAACAAGGGAGCAGAGCTGAAACCAGGAGGAGACGATGAAACATCCCAGAGTCACACGTGAGAGTTTCACAGCTGGAAGGAAAATAAAATCCTGCACACAGAAAAGAATAAAAGCGTCAGGCTCTGTCTCTGAGGACACAAAGTAAAGAAACGTCTGGTCCAGCTGTTCTGACAGGAAATGTTTGAACATCACATGAGCGACAGTGTGAGGGCGGAGTCAGAATGTTTGACTGAACAACCCTCTACATGTCATTTAACTGTTCATGAACATTTTGAGATCTTTAAACCGAACCATCAAAAAGAGTTCAGGATGAAAACAGTGTTGAATAGAACTTCATGATTCCAGGAAATATTACGAATATGATTCAAATGTTACCAAAGTATAATGAATGTTACTCAATTCAATTTGACTCAAGTAAATAAAATCTAACTTAACAATGAATTTGAGGAGTCGCCCAGTAGCATAGTGGGCTGTGCCAGCACCCCATGTGCAGAGGCCGCAGTCCACGCCACAGTCCACGCCACAGTCCTCGCCACAGTCCCCGCCCACAGTCCCCGCCCACAGTCCCCGCCCACAGTCCTCGCC